AAGGTGCTCCTTTTAGAGATCCGGTCACAGGGAAAACTCCTCGCTCTCTCCAAATCCCTTCCCTCGGCCTCCAGCCCTCCCGTAACAGCAGTAGCTCTGGCAGCCCAGCTCCTCCAGGCCCCCGGAGGCCTCCAAGGGGCTCCCCACCCACCTTGCTAGGGGGCCGGTCTGCGTCGTACTCTCCCTCCTGCATGGCTGTGGCCACCTTGTTCATGGTGCTGATGAGGATGCTGCACGACTGGCGCAGACACTCATGGGGGCTGCTGGAGGGGGCCCCGTAGATCTGTAGGAGCCCACGGCAACAGTGAGAACTCCACACAGGGGGCCCAGCTGACTCCCCCAGCACCACCTTCAGCCCAGCCATCCCGGCCCACCTGCTCGTTTGCTTTGAAAGCCAGCTCCTCCAGGGCAGCCACAGGCAGTCCCTCATTCTCCGCCAGCGGGGCGACGAGCTGGGCGGCAGCAGCTGCCACCTCCTGCAGCACAGCCACCACCCACGTCAAGTGCTTCCTGCAGTCCAGGAGGGTGTCAGACACCTGTGCAACCGGTCAGAGTCAGGAGCCCACCCTGGGCCCAGCACCACAGCCCCCAGCTCTCTCAAAACCATGCTTGTCCCCCAACCAGAGCCCGATCTTGCCATGCCAGGCCCCTCCTGGTTCTACTCAGCTTCCTTCCCGTTTCCTCTCCCAGCCCTAAACCTGTGGGCCGAAGGCTAGTGCAGCTGGGATCCCGGGAGCATCCGTCCCTGGCATTCGCCTTCGGATCTTCTTGCAGAACTGGCGGATGTCGCTGCACGATGTTTCCAGGTCCCGGAGCAGGAGGGCAATACCTGAAGCCTCCTGCCCACCCTGGTCAGGGAGTAGGAAATGCACGGGGAACCAAGTCAGCATTGGGGCTGAGGGTGAGGAGGTGGGGACCGAGAAGGAAGAGGAGCCCACGCAGACCCAGCTGTGCTCTCACCTGCAAGAAGGCGCGCAGCCGGCCCGCCTCCACGCTCATGCAGTCCAGGGCGCTCTGCGTGAACTGTGAGGACGGAGACACGGCGCTCAGCCCTCAGCAGGAGGCCCTCTGCCCCATCACCACCTCTAAGGAGTCTCCGCCCTCGGCTGACCCCTGTACATAGTGGGCCCTCTGGCTTCCCTGATCTGGCCTTAGTGACCCTGATCCAGTCTTACGTGACACCCCTTAAGGGCCTGATCGGATGTCTTCCGTTTCTGGTCTCTCTAAGGGGCTCAGCCGCCGGCCCGGACACCTCACCTTGATGTGGTCGGCCAGCTGCATGGTGCTGTCCTCAGGCTGATCGGCGAGGTGGATGCTGTACAGATGCTGAAGACAGATGACAAAGAGGCAGACGGCCTTCAGGCCTTGGAAGAATGGAGAATTCTTCCCAAACTGCAATTTGAGCCCCAGGTATCCTGGGACTCCAGGGGTACGAGAGAGCAAGGGCGCCCAGCAGAAGAAACTCTCCCTTCCTCCCGGGCCAAGCCGGGGTTCTCGCCCCAGACCTGGTAGTACTTGATGGCTTTGGTGAGAGGCTCCACGTTGACAGTCTCATCCAGCTGATCCTTGTGCAGCAGCTCGATGAGGAAATCCAAGGAGCGCTCGTGGGCACTCATCTCGGGGTAGAGGCTGCCCACCTTCTTATACATGTCCACGTGGCACTGAGAGAGGGCACTGGAGACCAGCAGAGGGCCCGGTGAGGCCAGGGTCTCCCAGGCAATGTCAGTTCCAGCCAGTCCCGGGCCCGTGGCCCTGGCGTAGGGCTCGGGGGTCACTTACTGCTCGTAACGGTGCAGGGTGGCCTGCAGCAAACTCAGCGAGTACACCAGCCCCGCAGCAAAGCTGAGCTGCTCCCCCGCGGCCCCTCGAAGCCCTGGCCGCTCTGAACAGTTCTCACTTAGTTCAAACTTCTCCTGAGCCTGCTTCCGGATCAGCTCTGCCTGTGGGAGGAAGCACCAGAGACCTGGGGCTCAGGGCAGAGAACGGAGAACGCAGACTTAGGAATACACGGAGCTGAGCAACTATGCGCGGGGCACGGAGACGTGAGGGAGAAAGCAGAGACAGCTCTCAGACGGGCAAGGAGCCGTATACGGGGAGAGGGTACTGACGTGGTCACCGGTGGTCCTGGGGATCTGGGATGTGGGGATGGACGGGTAGCAGGACCAGTGGGATCAAGCTCCTTCCCAAGCCTTCAGGCTGCTGCTCCTGCTGCCCTTCTCCCTAGAACGCTCTCCTGACAATTATCTCCCCACTAATTCATAGGCATCTTCTGGGTCTCACCTCAAGCGTTATCCCTTCAGTGACGTCCCTCTATCTAAGTCAGATCCCCAGCTGTGTTCTCTCAAAGCAGCCACCTCCCCGCCGTCACCCGCCACGCGTAAGAAACGTCTGCCTGGGCCCCTGCTGACTGTGCTCCTCACTGCATCGCGAACTCTGCGAGCGGCGGCGCTGCCTGCTGCCTTTCCTCGGCATCCACAAGGCCCGGTTCAGAGCAAGTTTAACAGACTCCAG